ATTGTATCGATTGAAAAGCCCATTTTCGGTACATTTTGCTTCATCTGACCATATATTTTCCAGGAAAGAATCGTTTTTTGATACCTTGTAATAATCAATTCGCCAAATTGAATTTTTTTTTAAAAATCGGTTTCTTTTATTTGTTGGATTAATGATAGCTTGTATGGATGAAAATTGTATTTGTACAAAATTTTTTTTAATGGTATCTTTCATAAAAAAACCTTACTGTCGTGCAGCTTGTCGTAAAGACATCATTGACAAAGCATAAAAACACCCCAAAATTGCTATTTCAATGGTTTCATCGTTAACTAAAGGTTTATTCCTTTGAATCTTAGGCTTGACACAACCGAAATTTTTGAAATGTTCTATTGTTCGCTTAGCCGTATGTGCGTCCGGTCTTCTTTTTTCTATCTTCTATAATAAATAAATTGAAATAGTCTTCGTAAGTGAAATGTAAACGCGCGGACATAATTATTATTAATAAGTTATGAATAAACTGACAGAAGCAGGGCATTATTATAAAGTGACGTTTTTATAAAGCGCAATTGTTTGTTCTCCGCCTCCCGTCATCATAGCCGACTAAGTAAAAAACTAAATCTGTACTTATAGGAGTTTTACAATAGAAGAGTAATAAGTTGCAAAATGCTCGAAAAGTAAACATTTTTGGAATAGATAACCCTATATAAAGTTACGCTAATTTTTAATGATTGTTGCGATAAACTTATAAAAATATAGGGTTTTCATTTAAAAAAATCGACGATTGGCAATTTTTGACATTCAATTCTTATACTAATTTTTTGAACACCATGTATAAATAATTATCGAAATATCATACAAAGACTATTAAACTATATCCCTATTTACCAGAAAATCAATAAGGTGTTCTACATAGGGGAAGTGAACAATTATTTTTGGGCCTGCAAACGTCATTTTTGACATAAAATTTGAAATATGTCAAAAACGGCTGAACCTGGGTATAGGAGATTATACATGAAATGTGATTAGAATTTTATACAGAATCTGAATATTGAGTAACATCCACGGTGTCCAATTTAAAATAAGCAACTTGGCATCAACTTTCGGTATAACCGAAGTTCTACCACCTTGAAAATATTTCAGCTTCCGTTGTCTTATCGACGTTAGTATACTCCCAAATTTTCAAAAATATCATATGCCTACTTTTCGAGAAATCTGTCGATGGAGTTCCCGATTCAACACCCTGTATTAGAAGAAGGACAAATACTGTATATTCCACACAGTAGACAGAATTGAAACGAGACAACTAGTGTGATACGGTCACGTGAAACCGATGACTGAAGATAAATGGCCAAATAAAGCATTAAATTACATACTAAAACAAAGAAGAATAAGAAGGGGAAGGTCTTCAGTCGCCTGGGAAGAATGACTCCAGGACCCCTATTCTCGAAATGAAGACATAGAATAACTGAGATAAAGTGGTCGTGGTTCTGCTTCCTTTCGTTGAACTGTATTCCTGAACACAAATAGAGCAGTCGCTCATCATTCAGTATCGGGAAAAAAGTGCAGAAGTCTCCCCGCTGTCCATCCGTCTGGGCTCTAAAGGCGAAGTTAACTTTGTAATAAAACGTTTTATAATACGAAAAACCGAGAAACGCCGAAAATAGATGTATTCTCAAATTTGATTGGCAAACGCCAAAACTCTCGTCAAAATCTGTCAGATCAGGTAATAGAACACATTATACTAGCTACTAGAGGTCCAGCTCGTTATCCTGAACGGTATCATCCAGAGCTGTGCAGGTTTGTTTATATCATGCAAAGACCGCCCAGGTGGACACAGTAGAAAACCTAGACAGCTCCAAATGTTGAAAATTTAGGAAAAGGTAAACAAACGTTTGTTTTTGTACAGATCGGCGACAACTTCAAGCAAGGAACAAAATATGTGACAGGACAGTACTTGAACTTCCTTGTAAAATTTACGCTGCTATTTTACGGCACACTAGTTCTGTTATCTCAAATTAATGTAGTTGTTTCTGAAAAGATAAGTTTCAACTTTCAGTAGACCATGCTTCCTTGCATAAGCATATAATATGATTGATGATTGAATTTTTTTGTAGAGGCACGAAACAAAGTTATCTCTGTAATAATACGTTTAGTGATATGAAAAATCTAGAAACACACATTTTGCGGAAAATAGATGCATTCAGAAATTTAATTGACGTACGTCAAAACACACAGCAAACGCTGTTAAAAAGGGTAATAAAACACTTTCTACTAGATATACCGATTTCCAGAATTTGGTCCTAGGAGCGACTGTTCAATCAGTATTCAGGAACACAGGTAATCAAAAAGCAAGAGAACCAAGGCCACCTCCTCTTAGTGATTCTAGCTACTCGTTTTCGAAAATATGGTCGTTTTCAAATATAGGGGTCAAGCTCGTTATCCTGGATGTTTGCATCTAGAGCTGCGTAGGTTTGTTTATATTGTGCAAAGGATGCCGAGACACAGTATAAGTCCTAGATATAAAATATAAATAAAACGAATCATTGGCTTCAGTAGAAGACACTTTAGATACTTCAATTCAATTCAATTCAACTGTTTGTTTGTGTTAAGTACACCAGCGTGCTTACACAAGTCAAAAGAAAACAAATTAATACAAAAAGCAGTCTGACAAAGACTGATGTTCAAATTAAACAGCAAAGCATCAACTCATGACATTATCATTCAATAAAAACAGATACAGCAAGTCCATATAAGTTGTAAAAACAGGAGGACATATATCCGTACATAGATACAGGCATATACATATTATAAACACAATAGATATGTTTACTTATACACACACACACATATATACATATATGTATACATATATACATATACACATATACACATATATACATTAAAATGGTAAGACCTATGAAATATTGTTATAAAAATTTACCACATGAGTTAGTAGAAGGTTCAAGGAGGCTAGAGGATCCCAAGTGTAGGAACACCATTATATTTGCTAACAATCCGACAAGTCTGAAAAATTATTGCTCAAATACTCGTTGATCGAGTAAAATGCTTTAGTAGTCAGATAAGCATTAATTTTATAATTAAAAACTTTCGCATCCAGTTTCTTTATATGATCTGGCAACAGGTTATAAAAAATCCTACCACCCTGTTATCAGTATACATATAATGCGTTTATACATAGTAATCTCCCATTCGCGTCTATTATTTGGAACACACACATGTCCACATAAGGATTATTGAGTCTGTCCAACATAAGTTTTTGCGAATTCTGCCTTATAAGGCAAGTACCATTGCCCATAAATATAACGATTATAGTTTGGTAATGGAACATTTCAAAATCTTACCTCTTGCTAAGAGAGATTTATGTTTTCTTCTCAAAATCTTGAACAGTTAAATTGACTGCCTCTACCCTTTATCAAAAATCAATATAAATGTACCGATAAGAGTGAATCCTAGACGCTGTGCATATTTCGATATTATGTTTTGTAGAACTAATATTGTTTTAAACTCTTCACTGGTACGAATGCAAAGAAATTTGAACAACTATGGTAAATTTGCTCATATTCATGCTTGTGAAATGCTAAAGTTTAAATACTTGATAAAAAAGAGAAACTTGGTCACTTGCTAGTAAGCTACGTTCCCGTTCTCTGTTTTATGATTTTCGTTACTGAATTGAACATCATTCCATTGTATTCATGTTTCATATATTTGAGTTATCAATAACAGTGCTTACAACTTAGTATGATTAAGTATACTGTGGACGCCTATTTTGGAAATTTTCTCTGTTTGATCGGTTGTTAAATAAACAAATAAAGAAACACATATATACGTATGTAGTTATTTTTGAAAAGGTAAGTGTTCACTTTCAGAAGGCCCTGTAACCTTAGGAAAAAATTTGATTTATTGAACATTTTTGTAGAGTTACAATGTTGGCACTTATTTTTCAAGACAATGGTTTGTAAGGTTATTGGAAACTAATGTTTTAGAAATAGCAACCTTCAAGTAAAATTAAGAAAGTAAAATTTATAATGATGTGAATGATGCTTGACGCTAGAAAGTATAACCTCCATGCTTCTAGCCAGTGAAACCACATTTATTTGAAATTCTTCTATAATCTAGTATACGTTTCGGTTACAACAATGACCTTCTTCAGCACATGACATTTTTGATAATATTTTATTTCATCTAAGTTCCAGATGACACTTCATTTGTTTTTACCTTTCATTTTCAGATTCCTGTACAGTGTGTTACTACCAAAGTCTGAAAGGTTCGTAAGATGCCGATTTTGCGCGAAGCCATCATTCTAAATTTTAAGATGATACTACACCAAATCAACATAGACCATGTCCATCTGGGCTAAGATTTCTCGCTCTCAAAAGGGACAGTTATCCCACCAAAAACGACAAGAGACTATGAGGTTATCTGCCGATTTTTCAATGTACCAGATACAAACTGTCACCTGAAAGACAGACAAAAGAAACATTGTCAAAAGTGTCAGCCACAGAATACTGCACAGAGACCTTGACATTCCTTACTTAAGGGATTCTGTTAAGCGGCGGTCACAGCGACGTTTTAGTCAAGCGGAATTGCACAGCAACCTTCTGTTGCGTGATTCAGTGATTCAAGGCTATGAATCGCACTGTGATCAAAGATTAGCGCGAACTTTGAGTAAAACCAAAATTACAGTCTAATAAAACCTGCATCAGAATTTGTTTTTAGTTCATCTTAAAATGAATCCGTGTACCAAGTCAAAAAGCCACTTAAACTGATACACTTCTGTTTTCTTTTCTCTTCTTTGTTTTTCCTCTCTTTCCCTGTCTCTTTTTCTTTGACATTGTCTGGTTTCTGGACAACCAGGACTGACAGTTTTGTCCAACGTACACTAGATAGTGAAAAATGGCCAAAGGTTCTACGGACCGCTGAAACACATGAGGAATAGTAGTTAGCCACAGTTTCAGATGTTACATTACAAAGTATGTACTTTTAGCTACTCACCATATTTTTCAAAAAATAACGAAACTGATGTCTGATGGTAAGTCGTATTTTTCTACTCAGATTGGTGATTTGTGTTGTCCTAGAATTACTTAACCAGTGAATATCTTTTTCAACATTCCAGTACTATATACATAGAAAACACTGAGTAACTCTACTTGTCTTTTTTCATGAATGAGCCTAACCTCAACTGATCAAATAGTATTGTTAACTAGCAATTAAAAACCTAAACATTAAATGTTAATATGCATCGATAGTCTGATATAATCCAAAATTATTAAAAGCGCCACCACTTACTAGTATCTCCCAGATGGCAGAGGAAGCACATGAATGAAATTAGAATTTTATTATTCAACTGGAAATCCATTTTACTTGCAGAAAGATGCCCAAATAAAAATTTTAGCACTTCGCTGAGTTCTTACTGGAAAAGAATACCCAGCCAATCCATTATTATTCAGAATTTAAATGCGTCTCTCACAATAAGTTTTCCAGCTATGGAGATTCAACCCGCCGTAAAAGCTTATTAGATTAATACAACTTGAAATAAACACATCCCCATTTCTCAGTATGATCCCATCAAGCTCAATTTTATTTTAAACTGCTTGTGTTCTCTATCTCTTATCCACGTATATCCTTCAGCAAACGTGAAAGCAATAACTGGATCCGAGTCCCCACGTATTTTCAATTTACGCAAACCAAGCCGTGCCGCGAGCATCGAGTTCATAGGCGTGGATCGATATCATACAATTCAGACTATTCAGAACAAAATAATTTAACAAGACAAGGTCTTAATGATGTAGGAGAATTAAATGGACCCATGGGAGGCTGTCATATCATCTACCGACATCAGATATCACCTTGGGTCATTTTTGTGTGACTGGATTCCATGTCATTGCTCTTGGTACTTTGAAGGTCTGTCTAGTATCATAGTATCTAGCATGATAGTATCAAAGATGAGCTTTCACTTATGAAACTCAGTTATATTTATCTTGATAAATTAGCAGTATTTTTTTGAAAATTATCTTCACGGCAGAACTCAATGTGTTTTAATGAACCAAATATTGTCCTCAACATCGTTGATACTTGGTACAGTTTTTGATATTAAAATGAGATTTGTTGAACATGTGAAGATTCTGTCCCAAAAACGTCGCAGGTTAAGTACTCGTATACCAAATCGATATTTACCAGATTTTAAGCATCGCAAAAAACTATGCGAGAGTTTATTCATATCTGTCCTAAATTACTGTAATATTGTCTATTTTCCGTCAATATGCTTTTGCAAAAAACATCCAAGTTATTCAAAATAATTGTGTAAGGTTCATTTTCTGATTACGAAAATTTGACCAGTTACCAAATATTGAAGTGGGTGAAATTTGAGAATTTAGTAAGCTATAATAATTTAAGTTTCGTACATAAATTGTTGCATCAAGCCCTTGTACCACAGAGAAAAAACTATTTTTAGTAAGGATGTGCACAGGAGACCCTTTAGAAAATTATAAGGCACAAAACAACATTATTTAGATGAAGTTTCTCATATAATTTAGCTACCAGGTATAATTCAATACCTGAAGTGTATACCTAATTCATATTCTTTGTCTACATTTCGCAAGAAAATTAAACTGCTTATAAATTCACTATACATTTAATCTTAACATTTCTATATATATATATATGATCAATTGTAATTCTTGATTTACGCATTTTCTGATCTTGTTGTCTGTTTTCTTCCTCAAGGTAGGACATACATTTCTGTATTGTGTTACCAATCGCTAACTGATTGGTTAAGTGTAAGGATAGCAAATGCAAAACTTCGCCAGTCAGTTAGTCTATTTCCAAATAAAGACGACTATTCTTATTATTATCATTATTATTATTATTATTATATTGCCCTAGTAGTCGCAATTCTTACATTGCCCCTTCTTAGATGTTCAGGTAAGAATTCGTCGCGTCAATGTTCTCCAGACAGCAGCGGCTAGCGCACCTTACATACAAAATATTTGTTCCGAGTATGAAGGGCAAATATGCGAGGTAATATGTATGCGAAATATGGATCATACGCGTGTAGAATTATTGGAGCTAGAAGTTAATAAATACACTGTCGCCAAATAATTGTAACCCACTCTCGCCCAACCGTCAATAATCGCCCAAAAAGATCATTTTCTTTAAAATACGATCGCGATTCTCAGAAACGTCAAAAATCTATTTTTTTCTCCACTACCACTGAACCGATTTTCAAAAGCTAAGCTTTAACGTGAACAGGCATTTTTAAACAAAATCCATGCTCCAGGCCTAAGGCCCCAGTCCTGTGAGACACAGTACGTGTACCTTAATGACAGGTTCGTTTTACGTTGCTCAGCTAATAGTCTAAATTTGGTCATCAATGATACAGCAAACATTTCGCACAAAACTGTAAATTTCATTGATATAATTCAAGAAATTTACGTTTACCAGATTTCAAATTAAAAGCTGTAAGAGCCACGCGATGGTCTAGCAGAATCGATGCAGTCAAACCATTACGGTACCATCTTGAAAAAATATTTGACGCTTTGCGGGGAATATCTGATAATAATTCGTCAGAATGGTACTGTGCAACATCTGACAAAGCTCATTCGCTTGCTCTGACCACTCCAAATTATGGATTTACTTGCTTAATAATAATTTGGTTTGATATTTTAAACGAAATTAATGCTTTAAGCAAAATTATGCAAAGCCCCACTATGAACATACAAATCTGTTGTTGGGAAAATTGATTATTAAGTTAACCGAATATCGTACAGATGAGCACTTCGCGAAGCTATTACAAGAAGCTACTAATGTAGCTCAGCATCTCAACATAGAAGTAAATTTCTCGCCAATAAACACACGATTCATCTTAGAAGTGTATCAACCCAATTTTAATATGAACACAGTGACGAAGTGTTACTAGACCCCAAGATTAAATACAAAGTAGATTTTTTTTTTCTGAATCTTAGATCAGACGCTAACCACTCTAAAGGACACATTCAAGGAGTGAAAAACTGTTTCTGACATATTCGGCTTATTTAATTACTACAACGATGACAAAAAGATAGATTGTAAACATTTAAAGCTTAAAGACGAATCTACTAGCGAAACTGACATTGACGGTATCGATTCATTCAATGAAATTAGAGCTTTGAAATTGCACTTTCCAGAACATTAGTCTAATGATTCTCATAGGCTGTTACAATACCCTCTTACTAATGATTTAATTTCAACATTTCCAAACACAGCAATGGCGATACGAATATTATTTACATTGCCAGTCACAGTTGCATCCGGTGAAAGGTCTTTTTCAAAGTTAAAGATTAAAAAAAACTTTTTATGTGTGGGTCATATATAGTTTCTATTGAACATGGAGTTTTAGATAGCTTGGATACGAAAAAATTGATAGAAGATTTGAAACATAAAGGCAAGAAAAAATCTATTTCTGTACAAATAAATATGTATTTATGTCTAAAGATAAAATTTTTTGATAAAGTACTTTTTGTATTTTTTTTATTTTCTCATGCCCTTATAATACATTATACAATGGCTTTAGATTCAATTTGATACTCGAAATTGCAGGAGCTGTTCCGCGGATTGGATGTTGTCGAACCCGTTCCAGTGATTCACCGACCCAAAAGGTGCGTAATGTTGTACATGGGGCGGCTAAATCGGCATTGCACGCCTGCGTTCAAACAAATAGCGGCGAGCCTGCTCAGTACTAGCTCATAAAAAATGCCAGTGCTGAGCTGCAATGTAGGGTAACTTCATTTGTTTTTGACCATTGGATCAACTGAATCAGGCATGAATCTGGAAGACAGAGATTCTCCCATCTTTGGTCAAACAGACGCCTATGTACAAAATTCATGACGCCCCAGCGAGGAGGAAACAAACACCTATCATTCTAGCCGCCGCCGCCGGTGCCGGCGACGGATTTTGGGGTTGAATAAATCTGCCGGAACAATACATAAATCTACATGATTTTGCGCCACGCTACCAAGCTAATCTGGATGGAAACCTCGTAAGGTGTTTGGAAATTACACCCAGATCAGAACGCAATGTTCCATAGAAACATACAAATTAGAATATTTATTAGGTTCACTAAAAATTTCTGCCCATTCACGTTTGTTTTATATTTGTACTTTAGATAAACTTAGTGAATAGTATAAGGTCCATCGTCATTTATGACCTATTGCCAACGTGATCGCTATTTGTGTATACATATTGTATGAAACGCCTGACCTCTGAGATAGAATTGATGTAGTGTCTGCTAAATATCGTCTTTCTTTTTGAGTTTTTTGTTTGCCCTACAGAACATCTGGTAATAACAGGAATAGATGATAGTCGGTGGGTGCTACATCTGGTGAGTACGGCACTGATATTATGTATCTTGAAAAGTGGCATTATGCAATTTTTTTGAGATTGTATTGGTGTCTTGTGACATTATGTAGGTTTTTCTACAAGATGTTCAGAGATGGCATAACTGGAGGTGTGAGCTGTATGTTGTATGTGTTGATGATAGTTCCATTGGATTGTTGTCTCAAATAGAGGAACTGCAGCATATTTGGAATACTGGTTTGTTTTTTGGAAATAACTTGTAAGATAAACGGAATAGTAGAATAAAAATGCCTCAAATTGTTGGGCAATTATTAAATTTTAATAATAAGAACAATCAAGCAAAACAAAAACCAGGAACTCCATGAAAATATTTGTCAAATTGTGAAATTTACTTAGGATGCAGGTAATGTGGAATATAGTGTTTCAAATTATAATCACTTTTTTTGACTGCTTTCACCTTTTCTAAGAAAATAATACACTTCTGAACTTCGTAACCATCTTACAGTATGTATTTGGTAATTAATATTTTTAACAAAATATCTGATAACTGTTAATTATTAGGTAATCAGTTACAAAAATCACAAATCAGTGTTTAGCCTGAACTTATAGTTTAGTGCTCTTAGTTACTGTTCTTACAATAATCACAGATATACACACTGGATTCATAAGCACTATAAGCAGCGTGAACCCACAATTCGCACATTAAGCACTATACCTATTCCAAATTAACAATGTAACTTCCTAACTTAAAATGCAATGTCACATTTTTAATTCTAAATATATTCAAAAAATCAAAATAAAATTGTAAACGAACAAGGACACATGACAGTTCAAATAATTGCAATGAAGATTTTACGTATCATAGTAAATGATTATCAGTGATTGTATTTTTACCGAAAAAGTTTTTAAAATAGACGTGTCATTCCCGTGTGACCGGTAGCAGGAAATGTCAAGGTGGCGTGCTGTTTTTAGTACTTGTGGTTTCATGTGATTTATGACATTATATTCACGAAAAATAATGCAGATACCCTAGATGTGTCAACTATTAACCAACAATAGTGAAAGACATACCGACATTTTTTTTGTGATCCTACGCCGTCACATTAGGTACCTCTTGGAGCCGCAGAGGATGCTTATAAAATTAAGCTAACCCACAGTTTT